TAATGAAATTGAAAGGGAACTAATACTACCAAAATCATTCCTGGAAGCAAGTATTACTCTGATACTAAAACCAGAGTAGGTCCCAAGCAAAAAAGAGGACTTTAGGCCAGTCTCCCTAATGAACATAGATGCAAAAATCCTCAATAAGATACTGGCGAACAGAATGCAGCAAATCATTAAAAAGATTATGCGCCATGACCAAGGCTTTTTGTAATAGTATCAGCAACAACTGTGGCCATGACATTGCTGGAGCAGATGTGGGTTGGCCTGTCATCGTCCCACTGGGCACCTTCCTCACAGCAGCAAGTGGCCTGTGTTGACATCCTGCTCCAGGGTCCAAATGAACATCTTCAGAATGCCTAATCTTCTTTGCATATGTAGGAGTCTATTTATTCAAATCATCTTTTATAACATTTGGTGGTTTCATCAATTTCCTCATGTGCTTAACGTGCACAAGGCCTTCATGACTTCATATTAAGTCTCACTAGAGTTAGGACCACAATAATTTGTCAACTGGGAAACTTTGGCCAAGTTACGTTTAACTATAGTTCTCAAAGTATGGGTCCTAGACCAGTAGCAGGAGCAAGCCTTGAGAACCTATTATAAATGCAAATTTTGGGGCAGCAACCTTCTGAATAAAAACATCAAGGGGGTAGGGCTTAGCCATCTCTGCTCAACATGGCTTCAAGATGGTTCTTAGAAATACTAAAGTTTGTGAAATATTGCACTCAGCAATGTTTTTTTAATGTTGACTGCATAGTAGGGACACCTAAGAAGCTTTTCAGAAAATACTAGGGTCTGTGCTATTTCTCCCACCCTGCACCAACTCCAACTGTTGTCAAAGGGAGCAGGGACAGCAATCTTTCAGCCTCGCCCATGTAATTCTAATGCATATTCAGGGTTGGTACCCACAGCTGCAAACTTAAGTTCAAATACACAAGGAAGGAAAATACTTAATCTCACAGGGCTGTTGAAGGGATTAAGAGTTAAGTACAGTGCCTAGCAAATGATAAAGCACTTGACAAATGCTAGTTATTGTTACAGTAATCCTCAGACTTAAGAGATCAGAGCCCTGTCATCAGGCCATGAAAGGACACTGGAGACTTGAGGGCCCAGTATTGATCGGTTCATTCAGGGTGTGATCTGAGCTTGCCATGCTATTATAGCTCCCACCAACCTGAGGCATTTTGGGCACCAGTGGGTTTTTGCAATGCTATTTGCTTTACATTCTTCTCTGTGCTTGTGAAAAACACATGTAATGCGATGATCAAAGTATGGGCTTTGAAATCAGCTGCTTGAATGTAAAACCTCTGTCTAGACACTTGTAGCTAGTGCTTTGGGGCACAAAATCAAGCTTCAGACTCATCTGTAAAGCGGGGACATTCACCATAGTAGGGGGTTATAAGATGTGGCCTACAAAGCACAACAACTCACATGTGATAAGTACTCAAAAAATGTTGACTTACTTGCATTGAAGTCATTCCTTATGCTACAAATCACATTTCTATCTCCAACCCTCTTCTTAAATATTTATCTTATTTGTTACTAGTTTGGTGCTTAATGCACTGGTCAGTTCTCATGGATATTCTCAAACTGGACTTTTGTTTAGATAAACTTCTCTCACTAAGACTTTCAGTATCTGTTGAGAACACTATTTTTATTCTAAACTCAAAGGACTGATCCACAGTTTTGCAGTTTTGGGGGAAGGTGATCCCATGCTGAGCACCAATTTAGATGGTGCTGTTGAGACAATCCTAGAAGAGACACAGACAGCTCTCTTTTCTCAGAAAACGCGTTCCTCATTTGGCTAAACTGTATTTTCTGCTTTAAGATAAACCTGTAATATTGCCAGATCTCCAGGAAAATTGCGTCTCAGAACTTTCTTTGGCTGGTCCTCACATCAGCGTAATGACCTCTCTCCATTTCGCTGCCTGTATGTCATTTAAAAAGCATTTCACTGTTTTAAATTCAACATGTTTTTCTAGTTATCTCAGTATCTAGGCTTTTACTGTTTGTTTCTGTTTTATCTAAGCCTTCTTGAATGTATCACTTTGTTTTGGTGTCTCTTTTTTAAAAAAATTGCTTTTGAACTTCCCTTGAGTACTTAAAGACTTTTAAGAGAGGGTTGGCAGGTTAAAAGACGTTTTAGTCTTGTATTGCTCTTGAAGTTTGTTCCCAGTTCTAAATCTCTAACATTTAGGCACTTAGGAGCTCTGGGGGAAATGTGTGAGGAAAGAGGGATGGGTTGAAGAAAGTGGAATTTTAAATTGTGCCTGGGAGATGCATTGTACATAAAAGCACTGTACTCGCACATACATACATACATGTCTGTATGTTGTGCTTTTTAAAAATGTTTCTGCAGTCCATAATTGCATAAAAAATCTCCCGTTTATGTCTTCTTGCAGAACCTATCATCCTGCATATAAATGTGGTTATTTTTATTCATTTATTTCTTTGTAGTGCTGGGGATTGAACCCAGGGCCTCACACATGCTGGGCAAGTGCTCTCCTGCTGAGCCATACCCTGAACCCTGAGAACTAAGGTTTTTTGTTTTTTGTTTTTTTTTTTTGAGACCAGAACTATGTATTTTTGCCATATCTGTGAACACTGTCTTGGAACAATCTTCTAGTAAGACACAGCAATTGTTACTAGTCACACAAAGCAGTTTGGGTAAAAATGTTGGGGTAACCTTGTACAGTTTATATAGTCTTTTTTACCAACACCCTATATATTGTTAATCCAGTGAAGCATTACTGTTTTGAAAGAAGAACAAAGTTTGGAGAAGGCATTGTAGGATCACACAGGCAGTGATTTTTGCCTCTGAAACACTGTTTTTAAAAAAACTATGCTATACTGAAATCAAGGACAAAATCCCCCGTGTACTCTAAACACCAAACATTACCAGGAAAGTACAAGTAGTTTAGGTTTTGACCAGAAATCCAGCTGAACAATCTGGCTCACCTAAACACGGAGTTTGCGATTTTTTTTTCCTGTTTATGCTTGTTGTCTGAATGCTTGGTCACTGCTGTCTTGAATGTGTTGCCTTCCATGGAATCGAGTCAGCGCTTCCTTCTCCTCCCACTTTCCAGCTGGTCCACTGCAGTTCAGTGCAGGGTTTTGAGTCATAGGGCATTTACTCTAACAGTTGAGTTGAGGGTACAGTTTACAGGCAAATACATTTCAGCTTCAGTCTCTGATTTTCAGCATCAGCAGTGGTATACCATTCTACTGCTGGGTTATCTACAAACTTCCTCATCAACCATTGCAATGGCACCTTGCAACCTCAGGGCCTGAAAGTTTTGTTAAATTCTTCCATCAGCTAACCACTGACTCAGGCTTGCTCTTAGCATCTAACGCAGCTACTCTCTCAAACACCATGCTGATTCTAACCTTCTCCAGCACCCAGTCCTTCTAAAGTTGGAGATCACTTAAGTCGTAACAGTCATCTAGCTTTTAGGCTTAGATCTTGTTCCTCAGCCCAACACCCACCCATACCTGGGCTCAGCGGCATTGGCCAAGAATCTACACTTTCCTATGCAAACTTCTGAGACTGTGCCAATATGTTACCACACACACACACACACACACACAGAACCTCACACATTTACTCACACAATCTTGGGAACCACATCTATTCACTTCTGTATCCTCTACTACTACTATGTGTCAGGCATATGGCAGGTACTCAGTAAAGAGCTCTAAATGAATGGATTTTCAGCCTTTACTTTTATCAGACACAAATCACCCAATTTTAGATACTTTTTTTTTCTGAACAGGCTATAAGCTCTAGCCATGCCATCTGGATTATGTATCTTTAAAAATAACATAACATTTGTCTAAACATATGTACTGGGATTCTTACTCACCCAGGAGTCATTCAGAATTTTAGGGAGAAACTACTGTAGCTGGCGTAGCTGCAGTGTGTACTGTTGCCTGTGCACTTTGCTTTCTCTGTCTCAGAAAGGTAGAGTTAAAAAGCACTGTAAACAATGCAGTTTACATTATTGTATCGTTCATTTAAAGATGGTTAAGATGCTCTATCTGTTGTATGTCTTTACCACAATTTAAAAAGTATTTACTGGATAATGCTAAAGACTCAAAACAGCTCTTGAAAAAAAAAAATTAGCCAGGCATGGTGGCGCACACGTGTAATTCCAGCACTTGGGGGCTGAGGCAGGAGGATCACTGAGTTCAAGGTCAGTGTGGGCTACACAGAGGTCAAGACCAGCCTGAACTACATAGTAAAACCCTGTCTCAGGAAAACAAAAAAATTGGACACTCTTACGATCTCTTTGGAAACTCAGCACTAGAAGACAATGAAATCTGCAGCTAGCTACGCAAATATATGCAAGTCACCATCAACAGAAATATCTTACACACTCTGACTTCCAGTTAAGTTGGCTACTTTCTTGTTTTTCCATGGAACTTGAAAAGCCCTTCACTGCTTGGACTCTGTCTATTTCCTTATGACTAACCATAAATCAGTTAGTGGTCCCCTTTTTAATTGGACAACTTACCTTAGGGCTTTGGAAACTGTGTTGTCTTTGCCTCAAAAACTTTTTCACCATTTTTCTTCTGACTCTTATTTATCTTTGGTTTAGCTTAAGTATCATTTCTTTAGGGAGGGCTCCCAAATGAGCTTTGGGCCTCTGGTGATGGTGTGATCCATCCATCCATGCACACGCTCATGGGACCTTGGCTTTTTCCTTTGTAGTATTTAATAAATTGTGTATAATTGTACTAGTGCTTCCCACAAGACAGAAAGGCAGTGTTTCTCTTGATAACCCTGTATTACCAGCGGCTCAGTACCTTGTATACAGTGAGCGTTCAACAGGTCCTCTCCCAGAACAGCCTTTCATCCCACTTAGATATGCTCAAAGGAGGAGGCGGAGATGCGTATGAAGTTTGTGAGCTTGGTGGTGGAGACGGTGGCTGAATGGCCAAAGAGATGAAAGCCATTTAGGGGTGAGTAATAAGTGAGGAAGAAAGGGAAGAATGAGGAAACTGCTGGGCATTCATTTAATGAGGCTGCTTTTCCACTCCCCCGACATCCCATACCTACTCCCAACAAGTCACAAACAATAAATTATACATTTACCCCACTGCAGAATTAGGTGAACCTCAGATTACAAAACCACGGCTGAAATAATTTTGCAGAATTACAATGTATTCAAGAAACCAGGCACAATTTGACTAGATTAGATTTCCACACGGGATGATGTGTTCTAAATAACCTTCACTGAGGAAGATTAGGTTCCTCTATTAGTGGAAAGACGTAAATACACTTTCTTCTTTTAGTCACTGAGGAAGAAACTTTCTGTCCTGACGGCTGACACTATTTCTTTTTCGCTGCTCTTTTTCCTTCTCCTTTCCTTGGTTTCCCCTTTCCACGAAGCTTCTTTAGACGCCTTTGTTCATCCTTAAAATCCTGATGCTCATCTCTGAATGAAGAAAGGAAAAATGATTAACCAGTTATTAGAAAAATACACTAGCACATTCTCTTAGGTGGTTTTGTTTTTTTCAAGACAGGGTCTCCCTATGTAGTAGCCCAGGCTGGTCTTGAACTCATGGCAATCCTCCTGCCTCGGCCTTCTGAGTACTGGGATTACAGGTGTGCACCATCATGCTCAGCTTGTTCTGGTTATTGATCTTTGACTTTTCCTGGTGCATGCTGAATTTTAGGGTGTCACAAACTGCAGTTAACCTCTCAGACCTGTCCAGGTAAACCTATGTGATGTGATAACACAGCAGCAACTGCCCCACTTTTCCTGCATTAAGACTGAATACCTTGAGGGGCAGAACGTGAGTATAGTCTTCAGCAGGTAACAGGGACCCTGACTGCCCCAGGAATAATGAGTATCTACCAGCAATGGCCAGAGGTCTGGAAGAAGCTGCCTTAAGAGTAGTAGATACCTCACATAGGAAGGCTGTCGGTAAAGGCTCAGGCAGAAAGAAGCCAGATCAAAAACAGACAGGAAGCAACCAAGGCAGCCAGGCCTCTCTATGCAGGGGGATGGTGTTGAAGTTGAAGACTGCCTATATTGCATTAAAATACCTGCATCTTAAGACCAAATAACTAAAGAACAGTATAGTGCTGAAACACGTAAGCTGTGGGATCCATTTGAACCTGGGTTCAAATCAAAGCTCTGCCATTTATTAACATTTTTAACTCCTCAGGCTATTTTAAAAGAGATCTGCTTTGTAGAATTTCATGTTTCAGTCCATCAACATGATGGCTGGTATGTAATAGAACTCTTCGGGTTTAGCTGTGAATGTCAAATAATCCTCAACACAGCAGCCAGAGTAATCCTTTCTCAAATATATGTCAGATGAGGTCGCTCCCCTGTTCACTGCCCTGCAAACGGCTTTCCATTTTGCCCAGAGCCAAAGCCCCAGTCCTTCACCGTGGCGCTCGCTGACCCGAGGCCTCACTGTCCCCCACTGTTCCTTGGCCTGCATGACCCCTGGGTCCTTCCAGGAATGCTCCTGTCCCTGGCCTTTGCTTGGTTCTTCCCCGCGTCTCAGAGGGCTCACTCACTGCCTGTGAGCCTCTGCCTAAGCTCCACCTCCTGTCTGATGCTGCAGCGAGGCCTCTTCCTACCCACCACAGCCTGGTCAGCACTTTGGATCCTGCTCAGCCAGCTCTGCCTTTTCCCCCATAGCACGTTCAACTTTGCAACACAGCACACTGTTTACTTACTACATTTTTTATCCCTTGTTCCTTCCCTCCCGTATTCCTATCAGCACTCAGCCAGAAACACAGCTCCACTAGGCAGGGCTTTGTTTCTGTTGGTGCTAGATCCCAGGACTGGTGAACTGAGTGAACTGATTGTATCTGAGAACTCGTGTTTCCCCTCCCTTTCTTGAGGCCTTTGAATCTGATTTTCTTTACTGAAGGTTGTCTAGTTGAATCCTGCCTGCTGCCATGGGAGGCCTGGTATTAGGCGAGCCATCTGTGTAACTAGTGACTAAATATATGAAAATAATGCTTTTCCATGGATAAATTAAGTGCTAAGTCTTCTTTCCTTTTTTGTTCTTTAAACAAATGGAGCACAGCAGCCAACAGATACATTAAAAGTAGTTGAATGTGGTTTTGTTATGGTTTATAATCCACTCAGGGGATCTGGCTTCCAATATTTTATTTTGGGTCATAATAATATTAGTTTGTACTTTCTGAACCCAGACTGATGGCAAGGTGGACAATCCAAAGCAATTCCAGACACTCAAACTAGGTCACAGATGACATCTCTATCTAATGAAACATTTAACCAAGGAAATCTCCTCTACTTTGTTCACTGCTGCTGCACTATGCACCGGCACACAGAAGGTCCTTAAGACACACCTGCTGGATAAACACACACACTAACTTTTAGTTCTCTGGCATGAGCATCATGCTGCCCCATTAATTTTATTACATTAGAACGAAGGGTCTTAAATTAATTTTTGTCTTTTTGCCTGAAGACAAGTTCAATTTAAATATGCTAAATGTTTTAAAGGGTGATATGTATTTTGATATTATATAGTTAAGTACTGTTTGAAAGCTTTGTAAAGAGCATGTATTAGTTTAGAAACAAAATTTTTTTTAAGGGAATGATCAACAATATCCCCCCTAAAAGAAAAGGATCAACAGGTATTTGATCTGTTTTCTTTCTAGAGAGATGTGTAGTCCTAAGTGCCCGCCTCCTGGGCACACACAAACATACCAGTGGGGGGTGGCGAGGGTGTGTGACTTACACATTACCCTTAGTGGCCAACTATAGCTTACTTAGATCAAATTAATACATCAATAAGGGCACAAAATAAAAATGCCAGAAGCGAGTGGGAGGACTAAGAATGCCAACAAAACTGCTGCCAGGAGAGAAAGGAGGCTCCCACACACCCACGGAGAGGCACATCAGGTGCAGGGCAGGGACTCTGTTCGTTTGATACCAAGAACCTGCTGCCCAGGCAACCTCGGTGCTCCTGGGGTTTCCTCCTTTTACCTCCACATCAGTTTTTTCTACATCCTTTTTTGAGAGTGCTCTTAGATAAATGAATAATTAAACATTTCTTTATAGCTCAGTATCAATTCAACATGAGTCATGTTTTAGACGTAATTAAAAACATGCCTTTTTTTCGCTTTGCTCCTTATGGGTATCTAGAGAGAAGCCACAAACCGTACTTTTTGAACTACTTGAGCTTTCTCATAAGAACTATAAAACTATAAGGATAGAAAGGCAATTTTTTCCCCCTCTGCTGACCTATTAAAAACATCTCTCATGGGTCCCTCTTGGTGGTTGTTTTTTTTTTTTTTTTTTTGATTATTACCTGTACAGGCCAAAAAACCGGAGTGTGCCCATGAGCGCGAAATACGTGTTGTGGTTTGGATACCAGTCGTAGGTCTCCTTCCTCTTAGCCATGGGCTGCTCACTGAAAAGTTTCACCACTTTCATGGATTTGGAGTCAGTCGGCCTGGCAACTTCACCGAAGAGCCGGGCGCTTAGACGACTCATGCGCAAGGCGTATTCTGAAAGTGAAGACATTTCCCGAGCAGCAGGGAGCAACACTCCCTACAGAAAATGAGAAGGAAGAGAAGCAGGTGAGTGTGAGAAATTCTCAGATTATCTAAAGGCCACACTGGAAAGTGGAAATAGGGCACGCCACGCAGAAACACTGTTGGCAGGACGCTCCTTGCAGGTTGAGAAACAGCCAGTCCAAATGGCGACATCCTCTGCATACATCACATCTGTGACAGCTAGTTTGTGATGGCCTCCTCGTATTGCCTTGCTGTATTCCCCCTTTTACAATGCACTGTTTTGTGATTCAGTAGGTTATTTACTGGCAGTCAATTTACCTATTTGCAGGCTGGATCGAGAGGACAGGGAAACAAGTTATTCCACTACAGCATTGTTATTACCCCTTTAGAAAACAACCACCTAAGCAATCTGCAAATAAATGTGCTGACTGCTTGCCATCTAAAGGTGTAATCATGGCAGAGAAATAATTACGCTGTTGTCTTTATCACCAGGCCTTTGAACACTGTTCTCCTCAAGGGCACCAGATGGCTCTGAGAACTGCTAATGAGTTATGAGGTCATTTGGCCTCTAGGTTACTGGATTGAGTTCTGCCTGGAGACTGGGAGCCACTTGGGAAAAACACATAGTAGCCTCATGGAAATAAAAACTCAACAGCTCGAAATAAGGATCAGCAGCTCAAAAGATTCATTTTGTTCCTAAACAAAAGTCACCTAGGAATTGTGATGTTACCGGACTTAGTCTCGATACAAACTAGCTAACTTCTTATGAACAGCCGTAACTGTTTCTCTAGTAGAGGCTCAAAATGTTGAAATAGACAGTAAATAAGAATGATAGCCATGATACGCAAAAATTACAGCAGGGAGACATCAAAGTATATAGGGATACATAGAAATCTGGATAGCTGCTGGTGGAACAACTATGCTGTTTATTCCATTTTAGATCTGACGTACAGGTTATTGTTGGCTGGATAAGAATTTATTGTTGTTGGTTGGATGTAAATTTTAATATTGAGACTGAAAGACTGTCTGGAGCACACTTCAGCCGGGATGAAAAGAACTGATTTCCAAAACAAAACAAGGCATAAACCTACCTTGAAAAACTAATGGGAGAATTATAACAAAAAAAACCTAAGCAGGTATGGTGCCAAATAGTTCCTCAAATTTTTACACATTACTTTTTTTTTTTTTGTCTTTTTGAGACAGGGTCTCGCTATGCAGTTCAGGCTGTCCTTGAGCTCACTTTGTAGCCCAGGCTGGCCTTGCACTTGCAACGATCCTCCTATCTCACCCTCCTGAGTGCTGGGATTACAGGCATGTGCCACCAGGCCTGGCTACATGTTACTTTTATAGGTGAACCACAGCTTATTTTAATCAAACAAATACATATAAAGTATATATAAATACACTTACAATTATGTATATATAATTATATATATTTACATATATATATGTTAAAAATGCCAGTAGCCAGGCATGATGGCACATGCTTGTAATCCTAGCACTCATAAGGCTGAGGCAGGAGATCACCACAAGTTTAAGGCCAGCCTTAGCTATATAGTGAGTTCAAAGTGAGCCTGAACTTTAAAAAGAAACAAAAACCCAAGAGAGGAGAGGAAATAAGAATGCCAACAAAACTGCCCCCAGCAGAGAAAGCAGGTTCCCACACACCTGCTAAGAGGCCGATCAGGTGTGGGACAGGGACTCTGTAAACCTGGTCAAATTTGACAATAGTGTTTGTAAGAAAAGAAACAAACTCAGTGTATAAACGAAGGTCATTTTAATACCCATTTAAGATCCATTAAGAGACCAAAAGCTGAAAGTTAAACTCAAACCATTTTTCATCCTGAACACCCACCAAGCAATCTTGGGCCAACAGTGCCACCTGAAGGCCAGCAAGGAGAGAATGATCAGCTCCAGGTGCCTCAACCCTGATCACCTACAAGCTATGCACCTCCTCTTCCCTTTTCAGTCCACTTTTCTCCCAACTCCTGCCCCACTATGTGGATGCAGACGGACTGGGTTGGTGCTGTGAGAACTAGGGTTATACTTTTATCTGTGAGGACAGGTTATTAAGTTTAATGTCTAAATAGAAACTGGTAACAAATCAGTACCATATACTTCTGAAGTCCAGAAGTGCCTTTGGAAGCTGCAAAGTTTCTTTACATGTTTTATCCTTTCCTTTCCTTCCACCATTAGAGTAGTGCTTTTCCAAACATTAGTTTAACAAAGCACTTCTTCATTGCCTTGTCTAACTTATGTAGCATTATGGCATCAAATAAATTTTTATTGTAATCACATAGCCTTTCTACAGACACTTGTAAGTTGGTCTGGGAACTATCACGTACTGCAATGTTTTCAGGAAAACATGTTCTCAATTCCAAACCACTTTTTAAAAATAGGCAGCATGGAGTCCTGATGATTGGCTCTGTCATTTATTACCTGCGTTCCAAAGAGTTACTTATTATCTCTAAATCTGAGTTTCCTTTTTCTGAAAACAATGCCCACAGATTGGGGGTTGGGGAGGCCTTAGATATGGGCGTTAACTCTTGTAGGACTACTGTGAGAAATATTAAGTGGCACTGAGAAAATAGTAACTTAAAAAAAAAAAAACCTCCTGGGGTGAGGGATATAGCTCAGCAGTATAGCACCTACCTGGCCAGCGCAAGGTCCTGAGTTCAATTCCCAGTACCCAAAGAAAAACCCCTTTGCAAGTTTGATGTTCACATGTTCCACACAGATTCATCTGTTATTTGTCCTTGGTTAGTCATGGGAAAAGAAAAAAATACGCCATACGATCAGGCCTGTACAGTACCTCCCTGCAATGATATCTTCACTTACAAAGCCTACAGCCGGAGAAACGTGGGAGGGAGGGGCCAGCACCTTGGTAACGTGACAAGATAGCAAAGAGGACAGTGGTCACCAAGGCCATCACAGGTTGTTAGTTATCTTCATGCCCATTTTGCAATAAGGTGGATTACTGGGATGTATCACTCATAAGTAGTAGGATCTCATTAGAATCCGTTGGAACATGGTTGTACCACAAAACCCAAGTCCTAAAAATTTGGCAGAGAGAGGTATTAGAATAAGCCACTTTACACCTGAGTTCTTTATTAGAAGCAAAGAACCACTTGCCAACAAGGGGAAACTGAAAATGCTTAAAACAGTTCCCAACACTAATGCTTTTTGCCTTCCACAGAGCAGACACTCGTCACTGATGGGGAATGACAGGAACTTGATATCCTGCTTTTTTCAAACACAGGCTAAAGATTTTGCTGTAAGTTTGGTCTCAAGACTGAGAATTGGGGGGCTGGGGATTTAGCTCAGCGGCACAGCGCCTGCCTGGCAAGCACAAGGTTGTGAGTTTGGTTCCCGGTACTGGAAAAAATACCAAAAATAAATAAATAAAGACTGAGAAATGATCATTTTTTTTAAAAACTAGCTTTAAATTAAAAAATCAAAACGCTTACTTAGGCCTTTTCAGGACCCTGGTAAAATTTCCTTACACAATCTTTCAATGTTATCTTTAAAAAAAAAAAAAAAAAAGGAAGGACAAAAAAGAACATGATGACTACATTCCTAACATTAAAGTAAAAGGGAAAAAAAAGTAAAAAGCAAATAATTTACATGTCCATTAGATTTTGATTCACATAAAACCATTTTAAGAGGTCAAAATAATTGCTTTCAAATATCATCTTTCTTTAAATATGAAACTAAAGAAAATTATAATTTTGTGGAGAAAAAAATAACTGCAGTTGACCATGCTAGCAAAACAAACTACAGTACTCACATATGCTAAGCAAAACGAGCCCACAGAAGAAAATTCTCATATTTTTTTCCCCGTTGGCATAATAGGGCAAGTTTCTTTCACCTTTCCGATGACTTTCAATGCATTATTTAAGTGAATCCTTAAGCACTTAAAAGGTCATTTTATTTCAATAACTGGCTTTGAGTTGGGATTGCCTTTTCTCTTTGAAAGGTGAGCATGAAGAGCAGGAGTTCTTAAACTGGAGATGCCTCTGCTTTTTGAACTAGTAAAGCCATATGCTTAAATGTGCATATACATGTGTAATTTTGCTGGGAATAAATTTTCAAAAACTAGTGGTTACTTTGAAGATATCAATATATAATACAACAAGCATTGTTAATTTCCTAAAAAAGGAACAAAAAACCACCAGTGGTTAGTAGATAACTTTACAGGTAGATACACTGGTTGACTTCTGCCTTTTAACGACCGTGTTATTTTCATATTCTATGCCTCGGTTCTTTCATCTGCTAAATAAGGACAGTAAAAACCACTCACTGAATTGTGAGGCTGATAGGAAAAAACTCCAGGCCAGTGCCTGCCCAGATCACGAGGACACAAGGAACGCACACACTGCACCTGTCTTATCACAGAAAACCGAATCAGAACGCTTTTCCATTTTAAAGCCCGCTACCAATTATTTTATAAGGTTACAAGGGCACGAATGGCGCTGAATATATGTTAACTTTATTCAGTTTGGCAAGAACAATCCTTAACCCCTTGCCTGACTACCACGTCCTGTGATGGAACCTTTAGTAGTGTCAGATTCCCATGTTTGAATCCATAGGGCAATACAAAAATAGTTTTCCTTAAAATAGTAACAAAATTAATCTGCATGCTGTACATAAAGCTACCGTGCAGAAGGCCACTGGGTGAGCAGAGAAACTCAGCCACGACTGTAGTAATCTGGGGAAGACGAACTGCGCCGGAGAGGAAATGACAAGAGGCAGAGACGCTAGCTCCCCCGTTTGGTAAACTGCCCCAACTCTAGTAGCAAAAGGCCGAGGTGTTTGTGCGATGCATTTGAAACCTCCGAACTAATCACTAAGCAAATGGACTCGTCCTGTTCCCGGCCACTGTATAAGTATGCAACTCCCGCAGGGCCTCTACCGGCCCGAGCCGCCTTCTAGCTCGGTGCAGACCCGCACAGCCTGGGACAGCCTTACCTGATCCTGCCCTTCCTCAACCACGCGCCCTGACCCGGAAGGCCCGCCCCCTAACCGGCTCTCAGCTCCCGCCGGCGGCTACAGAGAACATTAGAGAAACGGAAGCTTGGCGGCTAGAGCGGAGCCCTGGCAAAGACCCGGAACCACTAGCTTCCGCTCTTGGGGTGGGGCCTTCGAGGTCATACTTAGCGCCTGCGCAGTGGGGTTAGCACCACCCTCTTTTGCGGTTGCTAGGCTAAAAGATGAATCTGGTAGACAGAAGCGGGGGTTACTCCTTTGGAAGGTCGGCTTATTTTTGTTGGGAGTAGCTGCAGGGCTGCCTGCATAAACTCTGAAGCAGTGGCGATGCGCTTCTACGGACTTGCGCTCTGTAATGGGAAGATGAAAAGCAGTTTTTTTTTCTTCCTCTCACTTTATTTTTCTACCCAGCGTAGACTTTCCGTGTTCCAAGAGCATTACTTGACGCCAAGGGTTATTTCTGACTCACCAGGAGTGCCATTTCCCTCTGTTTCTCTTATCTACTCATCCTCCAGCTGTCAGGATCCCCTGAAGGAGGCCTTCCTTGCTTGTTGTTGGCTAGGTTAGGGGCTCTATTGGACTGCTCCGTCTCCGATCTGTCTTTGATCTGTCTCTGCACCCGCCCTCCCCCGCCGTAGAAACACTAGGTATTTCACTCCTTTAAGGTAGACCAGCAACTGTACCCTTGAAGAGTTGTATCCTTGAAGAGCGAGTTATAAACTTGGGTGTAATGACTACAGTTACATTTACACTGGGTGTTACGGAATCCTACGCATAGTTACATTCGAAAAATGTTCTCAGTAGCAGAATTCTTGGGAGAAATTTCACTTGGGTGTTGCGTTTCTGTGGACTTGGCTTATTTTTATCTAATACGCCTTTTATCATATAAACAAGAAGATTTTCTTTCTTGACTGTTAGAAGATTTAAAGCCAAATTTATAGATGACTGTGGCAAGAACTATTGTACTATACAGTCTCTCTTGCTATATATGTAGCTATTGGTCCATGCCCCCTTACTGATACCAAAGCCAAGCATCTGCTGAAGTCCTTTATGTAAAATGTAGTATTTACATATACATTATAGCTTATTCATAGCTTCTTATGTATCTTAAATCATCACTTGATTACTTTTATCACCAACTACAATGTAAAAGCTATGTAAATGGTTATTACACTATTGTTAGGGAGTAGTGACTGAAAAAAAAGTCTGACCATATTCACTACAGATAGTTTTTCCCCCAAATATTTTCCATTCATGGCTGAATCCACAGAGCCTATGGGTATGAAGGGCCAGCTCTATTTGCATAAACTTGTTGGCTCCATTTGTATATGTATCCTTGCTTTTTCCATTTTGCCTATTGTTTGTGTTAACGGTATGCTTTGTGAATCTCCATAAACATCAGTCTTGAAACAAGATATATTAGTCCATTTTCTGTTGTTAACAACCCAGTACCACAGATTTGCTAAGTTATAGACAGAGGTTTCCTTTGGCCCACAGTTCTGTTCCACAGGTGAGGGCCACATCTGGTGCTGGCAGTTTCGAGATGGTGCAGCACATCACATGGCAAGAAATAGGGAGTGTGTGTGTGTGTGTGTGTGTGTGTGTGTGATCTGTGGTCACTCTCTTTTACTATAAACTCACCAGGATTCAATCGTGAAGGCTCTACTCTGATAGCTTTATCCATTCCTTGCCTCCCAAAAGGCCCATTGATTTAAATTTCAATGCATGAACTCCTGGGGGACACACTCAAAGCATGTCCAAGTCCTAGCGCAAGGACTAAAGAGTGGCAAGTGACTGTTCAAGAATTTTTATTATGATTCTCAGTAAGTTAAATTATTGGGGTTCATATAAATTTCTAGAGGTTGCTATAACAAAATACCACAAACTTGGTGACTTAACAAAAATTTATTTTTCAATTTCTGGAGGTCCTGCATTCACATTCAGTGTCACTGTACCACAATCAAGATGTGGATAGAACTGTAGCCCCTCCCAAGATTCCAGGGGAGAATCAGTTCTTTGACTATTCTGACTTCTCGTGCCTGCATGCTCACTGTCTTGTGGCCACGTCACTTCAAGCCAGCATCTTCAAATATTGTCCTGATTCTTCTTATTGCCCCTTTCTGTTTGTGTTAGATCTCCCATTGCTTCCCTCTTGTAAGGATCCGTATATCCTGAGAGGGTGGCATGTACCTATAATTGCTGCACTCTGATAGTCTGAGGCAGGAGGATCACAGGTTTGAGCCCAGCCTGAACAATTTATTGAGATCCTATCTCAAAATTTGAAAAAGGGCAGGGGATGTAGCTCAGTGTGAAGGCCTTGAGCTTAATACCCAGTACTGTGAAACAAAAAGCAAAGCAAAACAACAAAAGAAACCCCAAACCCCAACAACTTCCCTGCCAACAACAACAAAAACTCAGTTGTATTTAGGATCCACTTTATTAACCCAAGATATGCCAACCCAAGAGATTTAATTTAATCACATATTCAAAAGCCCTTTTCCAATATAGGGTAATGTTTGAAAAATCCAAGGATTAGAACCTGGTATTTTGGAGGAAACTTTTTCAGCCTACAGCAGAGTTGGAACAAGAAAACCTCGGGAACTGGCCAGACTGTTATTGACCAACAGGAAAGTTGGGATAGTAAGAGTGGAAAAACTAAGGTAACAGAATAAAATTTAAACTTTTGCTGGGTGTGGTGGCGCACGCCTGTAATCCTAGCACTTGGGAGGCTGAGACAGGAGGATTGCTGTGAGTTCGAGGACAGTCAGGGCTACATCGTGAGTTCAAAGCCAGCCTGAATTACATAGCAAGACCCTGTCACAACACCCTCCCCCAAAAACCAATAAACTTCTGTGGATATTGTCATTTCCAGGCCTTGGCTTACCTACCTGTACCTCTAGGCCAATGATTCTTTGAGAATACTTTTTATAGTCAGAGATTGCTTTATAGTCAGATTCTATACCTTGTATTTATTTCTATGTTCTTTGGCCTATTTCCCCATTGTGGGCTGGGAATCATTGGTTAGCACTGTAATTTGGATCTTGAATGTCCCCAAAGCCCACGTGGTAAAAGTTTAGTCCCCAGGTTCGTGCTATAGAGTTGGATCTTTTAAAGGTGGGGCCTAGTAGGTGGTGCTAGGTCATTAGCAGGGGTGTCCTTGAAGGGGATAAAATGACTTAAACCTCTTCCTCTCCTTTTTTAATCCATTATGGCCATGAGGTACATTGACTGTTTGCTCAGCCACATGCTCCCTACCATGATGTGCTGCCTTGCCACAGGTGTAAAGTAATGACTGACTGACCCCTCCAAACTATGAGTCAAAATACACTTCTTCTTTATAAGTTGCTTTATCTCAGGTATGTGTTACAGTAATGGAAAGCTGACCAATATAGTTGATTATGACATTCATTTATTGGGTCAAGGGCAGCATTAAAGGACATTAGGATAGGAAACACCATAGTACATCACAGGCAGTAGGGATAATTATTAGTTCATGAAATAATATGTGTGTGTGCATCACATCACAAAATAAACAGCTGGACGTGGTGATGCACGCCTGTAATCCCAGCACTTGGGAGGCTGAGGCAGGAGGATTGTTGCAAGTTTGAGATCAGCCTGGGCTACAAAGTGCACTCAAGGCTAGCCTGAACTGCATAGTGAGACCCTGTCTCAAAAAAGGTATATATATATATAGTCTTACATATATATA